TTTAAAAGCACAGTTGAGGTTCAGGGTCTGATGCTCTAATTATCAGTTTCTTGCACTTTCTGAGTAGAAAGCCAGGAAGGAAGGCAGGGACAGAGATGAAAGGGGCTGGGTGATTTGGGAGAGTTGGAGAGGAAGCTGAAAGAGGAGACCAGGAGGGCGGTGGGATATTCTCAGGGAGAAATGGGGCCAGAGGATCAGACAGCGACAGAGCCACACCGTGAGCTGACAGATGAGAATGTGACTGTAGAACAACCCACTGTGGACACGCCTCAAAACTAGAGAGACAGGCGCTAAATAGAAATACTGGTTTTACCTTGACAAGCTCTGCAGAGAGGATTCTCATTAGACACCTGCTGGGGCTGAAAAAATGCCACAGGCCATGGATGCTGTCTGGTAGGGAAATTTGCAGTTGCAAATACTTCTTAACTTTGAAACTAGCAATCAACCAGTTCTGGTAATACAGTTAAGTTTCCCATGTGATCAGCCCCATCTTGATCCTCATACTGTCTCTTTCTAGCATGTGCTTTGAAACCCAACTTGACTACTTTTTCCCTTTATAGTCAACTACCTTAAAAAAGTTATTTATTTTCAAAGGGCAGGTTAATTTTTTTTTGCCTTTGAGTTATACAAAAAAAGCAGATTTTCTAATTTCTTAAATAGATTAAAAAGCAAGGAGCCAAAAAAACCAACCCAAACAAACAAAACGTGAAGAAAACTAATGATTTCATTATCACAAATTTAAAGAATAGGTATCTTAGTGGAGATAGCGTAAACTAATGGTGACAAGTGAGGACTCTGGAATAAAATGAAATGGATAGAGTCTATCTAGATATTTCACCATGACTAAGTTATTTAACTTCTCTGAATTTCCTTTTCCTCCTCTATGAAAAAGAAAGAATAAAGATACTAGTACTGTAAATTTTTCCAGAAATGGCACCTGCCATTATCACCTAAGTGTGATTGTCAGACTGTGAAGTTCAGCTATCACATAAATTGATTATCCTTCATTCCAGTGGCTCCTGTGGGGTACCTAATCGCAGGTACCTTATGCAGAAGGAATAGATTATTCATGCAATGTTTAATATTTTCTTTCTGGAGCCAGGATGGCTGGAGAGGTGATTGATAAAGACTCAGAAAAGTAGGAGACAATATTTTTTGCTTCTACCACCCTTTTCTTCTGGGGTCAGCCATCCTTCTAAGAAGAATACCTTTTGAAAATTATTCATCTCAGATCATATTGGTTATGCAACGAGCTCTGCTGGGTACTGTCCTTCCAGAATGGAAAGGAAGTTAATGCCCAGCCACTCCTAATCCTATATTATATCTGCTGCGCACACACTGATGTTGGAGATAAGTTGGATGAGGATGACAACAAGAGAAGAAGAAAGATAGTTTAGGGGAGCAAGCGGGCTTCTATCTACTGGCTGAAGAACTGAGAAAATGCATGAGACAATCTCCAAGTTAATTATGGTTTTCTGGATTAAATGGAAGCAAATGCCAAAGCAGAGATATTTCTGCATATCTTTCCCTGCATGTACCTAGCTGTAGTCCAAGTCCAGGTTCATGCTTCCTCCAGCATCCACCGGGCCATTAACCACTGTCACTTTCTATTAATCACGCATGGTGTCTTTCAAACTGTTGTCTGTTTCCTTCTAAAAATGTCCACAGAACAACAGACACCGAGAACATGCTAAAACTCCCAAGTCTCAACTTAAGAGTTCTGCTAGAATTCTCAGTTTATTAATTTCTTCTGACATGGCCCAGATATCTCTAGAGTAATTAGTAACAGAACGGGGTTGACGTGGCTGCCTCATGGTGATGCAGATTGTGACAGATGGTTCACTTACAAAAATGAAGCAAGTTCAATCGAGTTTAATCCCGAAGGGGAAGCACCACACTTGCACCCTGTACACATCTGTGCCTATCTCTTCGTCATCATACTTAAGTGGCTACCAGGTACAATATGGTAAGAGATCATCAGCTTTCACATATATATATTTTTTTATCCATTTGGCCCAAGCTCTATGGAAGCGAGATGTACAGATAATGGGTAAAATTCACTCTCTTGGGAAAGAACAAGGGGAGCCAGAGAGACAAGGCTAACAGAACAAGAGAATCCTGTAAACGCCAGGCTGTGGCTGAAGTTCTTAATTAGGTAAATAAATTACAGGGCAGTGTTTCTTTTTTAAAAAAAATACTGTCAATTCTTCTTTTATTTTGATTTTTTTTAAAGACTTCTGGTGTGGGCCATGTTTAAAGTCTTTGCTGTATTTGTTACAATATGACTTCCGTTTTTCATGCTTTGGTTTTTTTGGCCACGAGGCATGTGGGATCTTAGTTCCCCGACCAGGGATCGAACTCACACCCTATGCACTGGCAGGCAAAGTCCCAACCACGGGACCACCAGGGGAGTCCCTGCTAATTCTTCTTTTAAAATGTCTTATTTACTCATCCATTCTCTCTCTTCCCACTGACATCAGTTGATCATTTCAGCTTCTGTTTCAACAACTGGAGCGGCCTCTGAAAGTGTCTCTCTGCCTCACATTGTTCGATTTAACTCAACTAGTACTTCTGGAGAATGAGGCACACAGGTGGCTTCCCTGGCTTCTCAGTTCGGCTGTCAACCTTCTCTTCTTCTGGTTCATTTTACACAAGGACCTAGGAATGTATTTTAAAGTCTAGTTTTCACCCCATCACTCACTCCCCAGCTCAAAAACTTCCAAAGGCTCCCCACTGCATTGGGAATAAAATCTAAATGCTCCCATGGTAGGTAGGCCTAGAAAACCCTCTCTCAACAGAGCCCAAGATGGCCCCCCATCCCAGCGCCGCCTCCTTGTCACTGGCCCGAAGCAGGGCCACCTCCGAGCCTGTCCTCATTCTCTTTAAGTCCTTCATGCCTTAAGGGTGGGCTCGAGTTTCATGCTCTCCAGGAGCCTTTTTATCAGACTGTGCTGAACTGCAGGGTTTACACCAACAGTAGTTATTCTGGCATTCTACTTCTGAGTATATATTCATAATTGTATATATACATATACATATGTACTGAACTGTCATATTTTGATACCTAGCACAGTATTCTGCCTACAGTTAGGTGTGCTGAAATATGTACTACACATAGGAGTTTATTTTTTCAATATTTAAGCTTTCTCAAGGGAACTTTGGCATCTCAGTCTTAAAATGTACATGGACCTTAAAAGTACATAATTTGCTTCTAGAATCAGAATGAGCAATTCTCATACCAGGAATAAGTGAGGGAAAAACTCAGAAATGCTTATAAAAATATATGCACATTGTTGAGATATTGAGTTTTTATAATAAAATAAGGAAGATAGAAACCCCTTAAAAGGCTTCCTCATTTAATTAATGGCAACCCACTCCGGTACTCTTGCCTGGAAAATCCCATGGATGGAGGAGCCTGATAGGCTACAATCCAGGGAGTCACAGAGTCAGACAGGACTGACTGACTTCACTTTCTTTCACTTACAATGTAGCTAACAAAATCACTTTGTGGAGTATTTTAGTAACATGAGGACCAGTTCATAAGACATCAGTGAGGGCAAAGAAAAAGTAAACGAGTATTTGACTTTTTTTGTTAGATAAATGATATACAGTGGTTATGTTTACAGGGAGGCTTAAGAAGGCCCTTTTCCTTTGTGGTGTTCTCTGCATTTAAATTTGGGAACACTCAAGTGTTACTTCTGTGTTGAACAGTTTAATTGGAAACTTGCTCTTTTGAACCACAAACACTGACTTGGACGGATATGCACTTTGATAGAGGAGCCTGACACAAACTTCTATTTGAATTGTAATCTAATAAGCTTCTGCATCATGGGAGAGACATCCTGCGACCATGGAAACAACAGTGATTGATTTAGGAATTGGGAAACTCAGGGTCTAATTTTGGCTTTACTGCAGAATTCCCACCAGTTCTGGAAAAGTCACTTCTCTTCTTGAACCTCAGTTTTTTAATGATAAAATAAACGGATATTCTTGCACCCTCATTCCAACTTGTGAAAATGTATAGAGATCAATTAGAGACTATTTATAAAAATGGCAAATATATTATAAAAAGGAAGTCAATCAGTATCACGTGGGATTATTGTCAAGGTTGGAGAAACATCCCTCTGAAATGAACCTCTGATCATACCGCAACTTTAAATCACAAAGTGGTACCCAATTCACGTGCTAATGTACAGCCAAGTGCAATTCCACTAAATGCCCAATTTAATAACTGTCGGCGCACTTGCTAACTAACATTGAACACTGAATTTTAAAGTCATTTCAGGTTATTACAAAACACTGAACGCAGTCCCCTATGCTATACAGTAAGCCCTTGATGCTTATCAAGCTTAGCTATTTTCTGTAGTTTGTATCTGTTAATCCCACTGATAATCTGAGAAAATATATATAACTGAATCATTTTGCCATACACCCAATTTATAACAGTATCATAAATCAACCACACTTCAATTAAAAAGCAGTCATTTTAGGGCAACATTCCTCTTAAAAGTATTTTCCACAACATTTTGCAAATTACTATCTTTGCTTTTTTTTTCTTCCCCAAAGAGAAGAGCACAGGTATACACTGTAAAAGAAGAAATACACTGGGCTTCAAAGCAAGTGTTTAAAGACAAAATATTGAACGCTTTAGCAAACTCATGATGAAGAGAAGAGGTGCTCTTCTATCTCTACAAAGATTTGGACAGTGAATCTAACCCACCTAGGTGGGCAAACTTTTGACTTAGCCACATCAATGCCAACGTACATACTTACAGGTGCACACGACTGGAGGCTCTCAGCACGTGGCTGGCAGTGTATACCGCATGCCTCTGAACACACACACACAAACCCAGGTCACAACGGCGTGTACCAAGACACACACAGAAACACCCACGTGTCCCACAGGGTGACCTCGCCCAAGGTTCTCAGGTAAGAAGCAAGAAAGGATCCCGTGAAGGGAAGGCAGGGCGGCGGGGCCCCGGGAAGACGTGCTGACTCACCTGGTAAGTGGTTGCCAATCCTGGCAGTGGGTTTGGGAGGCAGGGCGGGGGGCTGCTTGAGGAGAGAGAGCTGCTTCACGGGGGTGTCCTCGTGGTCTCCGGGGGAAGCAGCAGGTTTTTTAGGGGGCAGGAACAGGACTGGTTTGGCTGAAGGATCTTGGGACAGGAGGGCTGCAGACTCACTGGCAGAGGGACTCTCTTCGGACACTGGGGGGACAACGACAGGTCACACACGACATTAAACACGCAGTGCGGGGGGCTGGCGGCAGCGCGGGGACAGGACAGGCAGCAGCGCAGCCGGGCGCCCGCGGCTCAGGGCTCACATACGGCAGGGCGACCGAGAGAGGACCCGGAGAGCCAGGCAAGCCGGGGCTGAGGTGGGGGACACAGCGGGGAGGCAGAGACAGGAGACGGAGAGGACCGCAAGGAGCAGGAGGAAGAAAAGGAAGAGGACGCTTCCTCAAACCATCCACAGCGTCACCCCTTCAACCCGGGCGTTTACAGTACACGTTCCATGGGCGCGCCAACACGTGACTCACGGGACCATGGCGACAGCCAACACATGGGCAGGTGCAACGGATCAAGGACTAGGAGCCCCTCTGAGCCAGACCACCGCCAATGCCGGCATCTCCTCTGGGTGTGTTTGCCCTTTGCTCCCGGGTCTGAGGACCGCCTGGGAGCGGACACTGGGCGGGCGACCCCCACATCCTGGGGTGGCTGCTCCTCCGGGTTCGGGACCGCCCAAGCTGGGCATCGTGTTCAGAGGGCGCTCTACACTTTCAGGGGCACTGGCTCCTACTGGCTCCTATCCACCTGGACAAGGTGAAGGACGCTCCAAAGTAACATCCTTTTTGTTTTCTCTGCTCCTCTCTCCTACCCTTGCCAGAAGCACGGTTTTCTCCTTTGGACTCTGCCCATTCCTCATTGCTTCAGGCCTGACTCTTCCTCTCCCCCTGGGGGTGGGGGGCAGGACCCAGACCAGCTCCAGTTAAGAGCGGTCCTGGGTGGTAGCAGAGGCCCTCCCATCAGACTGGCGACCTGGGCGAAGACTGAAGGAGACTCTACGACTTCTCAAGGGTTACAGATCTCAGTACAAATCAAATCCGTCTGATCCCAATGTCACAAGGAAGGCTGGAGAGAAATCTCAATTTACTGCTTTAGTTGGAACAATCTTTCCAGCTGGGAGTGGGGGAGGTTGGGAGGGAAATGCAACTCAGATGCATATTTCCCCCCTCACCATCACTGCTCCAGTAAGAAAACCTGTACAAGAGTCCTCCCCTGCCTCCTCCTTCCTCCCTAATCCGGGCAGCAGTGTTCCTGGCAGCGTCAAAGCCTTGCACATCATCCGCAGGAGAACCAGATCCTCCCCTGGCTCAAGGGACGCTGGTGTTACCAGTGCTGGACACGTTGATGGAGCAGCAGCTCACAGGGTCCCAAAGTGAAGCAGGGCACTGACTCTGTGAACCGCCAGCACTCCCGCCTCCCGCCTGGGCCCCACGGTGCAGACTTTGCACACGGTGTAGAGAGAGGAAGGACACAGCCTCCCTCCCAAGGCTCCAGATACTCCCAGAGGTCCCTCCCCGGAAGCTCGTCTCCTGATAGCAAGGACCTCTCCTTACTGGCTCTCGGGAGCGCGCCACCACCTGGCTAAAGGGGACCACTCTGCAGTCCTTCTGAGGGACTGAATATTGGCCACTCGGAGGGCTCTGGACCAAAGAGTGAGTGATGGTCAGGTGGCATCGCAAATCATCTGTCAGCGGGATACAACAATTAACACATCGATTTTATACGGTAAATTGGTACAGCTTGCTAAAGTGATGTAACAGTTAACTGTTATATTGGGGTAAGGATTCGAAGGCACACCAGGGCTCTGTGACCAGGTGACTTAGACAGACATCGTCCAGAAGCATGGGGTTCAGTGTTAGCAGAAACAAGTGTTAGAAAACAAAATGATGATGTTTTAAATCATCTATATTACAAAACAAGACCTAACTTCTTTAAAGAGATTAAGGTCTTGAAAGTGTTTTTAAAGATTGTAGAAAAATACATGGATATTTCCTCCATATTTTTATACTCAGCATGTACTGGGTTGGCTGAAAAGCTTGTTCAAGTTTTCTGTAATGTTTTACGGAAAAACCCAAAGGAACTTTTATGATCAACCCAATACTAAACTGGCCATTTCCATCCTCGTTTCCAGGAGATCCTTATGTTCGGGGTGGTTCAAAACAGAAGCCCAAGTCCATCCGGGCTGAAGGCCCACCACACCGCATGCTGGGGACCAGTTCTACATCTATCGGGGGCATTACCTGTCCCATCCATGATGTCGGCAGGTTGGAGCACCTCGTATGAGCAGGGATCCCTGGGCATCGGGACTGGCTCCATTTCGGACAGGGCGGGCAGAGACAGCTGGCTGGAGCTCAGGGACTGCCCGTTTTCCAGGGAGTCATCTTCATTCGATATGGAGAGCTCCCCGTCTGTTGGCATGAGAAGGAGACCGCAGAGTTAGACGTGCCTGCCTCGCAGGAAAGAGCAATACTTACAGCCTGCTACCTGAGTCTGGACACTTTTGAACAATCTTCATCAAGACCAGAACATAAAGTCTGCACTCGTTATTTTGCTTTTAAGGCATCGAAACACCAGGGAAACTATTTCCAATGACCTTCAGTAATGTGCCTGTTTTCTCTCCATCTTTCTAATCATCAACAGATGAATGGGTAAAAAAGACGGGCTATGTGTGTATGTATGTGTGTATATGTAAAAAAAAAAAAAAATATATATATATATAAATATATATATATATATATATGGAATATTGTGAAAGTGAAAAGTCACTCAGTCATGTCTGACTCTTTGCAACCCCATGAACTATTGCTGGCCAGACTCCTCTGTCCATGGAATTTTCCAGGCCAGAATACTGGAGTGGGTAACCACTCCCTTCTCCAGGGGATCTTCCCAACCCAGGGATCGAACCCAGATCTCCTGCAGTACAGGCAGATTCTTTAACGTCTGAACCACCAGGGAAGCCCATACGGAATATTACTCAGCCATAAAAAGGAATGAGGGAATGCCATACACAGTAACATGGATGAACCTAGAAATCATCATACTGAGTGCAGCAAGCCAGACCGGGAAAGACAAGTATCATATGATATTGCTTACATGGAATTAAAAAGAAAAAGATACGAATGACCTTGTTTACAAAACAGACACTCACAGACACAGAATGCAAACTTATCATTACCAAAGGGGAAAGGGAGTAAGGAGGGATACATTAGGAGGTTAGTATTAACATATACATTCTACTATATATAAAATATATAAATAACAAACAAGAACCTACAGTATAGCAAAGGCAACTCTATTTTTGTAGTAAACTATAAGGGAAAAAAATCTGAAAAAGAATATATATATACACACACACACACACATATATGTATAACTGAATCACAGTGCTATATATCTGAAACTTAACACAATATTGTTAATCAACTGTATTTTAAACTTTTAAAATTTAAAAACATTTACAAAATTTTTAACATTTTAAAAATGTTAAAAAAAATCATAATCTACCATGTTTTATACTTGTTTTTTAAACAAAAGTGAAAACCAAAATTTCTTCATAATTTTTGAAAACCTGGAAACACTGAGCAGGACCCAGAGATGGAAAACGAGGTCAGGGATTCCTACTTCGGGGAGCAAAAGGCTTCAAGCACTCAACAAGCATGGGGACCTGGAATGTCACGGCCCGAGGAAAGCCTCGCCCTGTCTTCTGGGCCCCTCTGCCCACACCCAATCTCTCCAAGTAGACACACGAGCAGGTTCTGGGCTTCAGCTGCAGGGCTGCAGTGGCCCAGAGACGCTGGGAGGTGCCAGGATTCTCCCGGTCCCCCCAGTGGTCCTGCCAGGCGGGGTACCACTGTGATCTTGTGAAAGCTCAGCAAGACAAGAAGCCAGTTAACACCGCGGTGGAGGATCAAAGCCTCCTACACACGGCCGTTTGTCAAGTCAAAACTCCCTGGGTGTGATTTCCTCCTAGCCCAGGGGAGTCCTAGATAGCTAGACATTAAAGTCAAATTAATTTTTAAAGAGGACTGAAAGCTGTTCCAGCCAGATGAATAAACATCCAGATGAAAGGCTCTAAGTTATGTTTGGGCAGAAACATAGAAACCAGCAAAGCAATTACCTGCCTTACAACGAGAAGATAGATGATTTACTTGAAGAAATACAACAGTGAAATGACTCCATGGTTAATCATGGATAAATAAGCCTTTCCTTTTGCCGTGTTCCTCCCAAGGCTTTACTTTTATACACAATGATGATACGGCAGCAAAAGATCCCTCTACCCACCCCCTTTCCTCCTCATTTAGAATTGGTTTGATGAAACGCATGCTCAACAGAGCGATTTATAAACTGACAGGCTTTAGGTAGCATATGGTTCAAGGACATATGATATTTGACCTGAAATTTTATACACATAGGAAAAAAATATAATGGACACCAAAAAGCACTTGAAGCAGTCAATTTAAAGCACTAATTTTTGAAGACTGTGGGTTTATTTTTTCTTTCTTTTCACTTGGCCTTTAAAAGATTTTTTTTTAAATTGGGTTTTTGTTTGTTGTTGGTCATGCTGCTTAGCATGTGCGATGTTAGTTCCCCAGCCAGGGATGGAACCCATGCCCCCTGCAGTGGAAGTGCAGAGTCTTGGCTCGTGGATGGCCAGGAAAGCCCCTCACGTGGCCTTTTTCTATGTCTCCAATGGAAGCAGTAGTCACTATAATCATGATTAACAATCATGATTAACTTCTCATTCCTAAGAGGAGAGCAGACTGCCAGGCCAAGGCTCTGGGAAACAGTCAGCTGAACTGAGGAGTACCCAGGATGGGAAGAGCCGCGGTTGTGAGCCTTAACGCAGCACCAGCCCACGACGGACAGTCCCGGGGCCTTTACTTTGGCGTGTTCACACTGACAGCATGGGAAGCAGCTCTGCTTCAGGTTCCCCGCCGGTGGAATGATGATGGAATTGCCGTCAGGCTTACTGTATCTCTGGGAAACCATTCTGATCTTGGATGTTCCCAGTATAGTAAAAGTACTGGCTTACAACGGCCAGAGGAGGAGGGGTTTCTGGGCTGTTGCCGTGTTTTGCTGCTTTGGGGCAAAGATGTGATGGAATGATCGCTATATATTTTAGCTCCTTACGTCTAAGAACTGTAGATGCAACATTAGGGGGAAGAAAAGATAGAACAGCAGTAGCGTTAGGGGTTTTGGTTTACAGAGAAGCAGTATTACTCACTCCTCTTGGGACATACTAACTCTCAGAAAATTTAGCTCCCTATGGATTAATAAGCACCTTTGGTAAATCACAAAGGCCCAAATCATTTGGGAGAGGAAACAATTTGGTGAATTCCACAACTGCAACTTCTAAATACACATCTCATTAAAAAACGAAATTAGAAAGAAGAAGAAATATGACATGAATCATATTTCTACCCTAACAGAAAAGTTCTTTTGCATACATAGTTGTATGTATCAAATTTTATTTTGTCTTGTTTTTAAAAAAATTTTATAAGCATTATAATTTGCATGGTTATCATCTTAATGATTATATTTATCTCTCTGTGGTTGGTCACAAAGGGGTTTCCAGTGTTTTATGCTATTATGAAAACAAATCTCTGCTGATTACCTTCCTGTATAAAATCTTCTCTGCCATTAGAATTCTCCCCCTTTAGAAGAGAGTCCAATAAAGACATTTATGTGTATTAATATTTTAAGGTCTACTGACACAGACCTGGATACTGTGAAATCATTTTTCTATAGCGTTTGTCAATTTACACAGCAGCAATGTACAGACCACACAGATTTCTGGGCTTTTGGTCATTTATTCAGTATCAACATTGATAACCATGTTTTATCTATCTACATAGCTACTTACCTACATATATATGCACATATCTGGTAGAAATAAATTAAAACCATGCAATAAGTACACATTCATTATTAATATCACTTACGACTAAGATAATGACAAAAATGAAACCTGATTTGGATTCATATAACATGGGGATTAAAAAGATGCTGCTGTTAAAGTAACTGTTATTTTTTAAATTCTTATGATGTTTTCAAATGTACACAAAAGTAGAATCATGAATGTAACGAACTCCATGCACTCATCATCAAGCTATGAGGAATTAACTGGGAATTCCTAAAGCTTAGTAACTTCAAGTTTGATTCATATAAAGACTAATTTATTGATGTATAGTTGAGTCACAATGTTGTATTAATTTCTACTGTAAAGTGATTCAGTTATTATATATAATATATATACACACATGCATACATACACACATATATATACACATACACAGGTATATATACACACACATTCTTCTTTCATATTCTTTTCCATTATGGTTTAGCACAGAATACTCAGTATAGTTCCCTGTGCTATTTATACAGTAGGACCCTGTCATCTATCTACCCTAAATATAATAGCTTGTATCTCTGAAGACTGTTTAGGCTCTCCATGTCTTTTTACTATTTACCAGTTCTGTTATCAGCACATTACTAGCATTTTAAAAATAAGCATCAAAAGAAAAAACTGTTTTCCCTCCCAGGAAGCATTTAACTCTCCTGAATAAAATGAGTCTTACAGAATATTTCTACTTTCATCTATCAAGATCATCACAGTCTCTTAGGAATTTTACTCTTTTTGATGCAATGGTAAACGGAATTGCTTCCTGAATGTCTCTTTCTGATCTTTCATTGCACAGTCTCTTGTTACTATGAACGAGCAAAGGCTCATTGAGTATTAGAAATCATTTTGATGTTCTACATGATCGTCTAAAATTATCTGCAACAATGGTTTTCAAAATGGTACAATCACCTCCAGGCATTAGGACATTTCCACACTTATTTCCTAGTAAAGTGTGGCAAGGAGGAAGGGAGAAGGCAGGAGGAGACCAGACAGGTTAAGGTTCTCAAACTTTCACGGGCATCACAATTTCCTGGTGGGCAGTTAAAACACAGATGACAGGGCCTTACTCCCAGAGTCTCTGACCCAGGAGGTCTGGCATGGAACTGAGAATACGCATGGCTAATAAATTCTTGGGTGATGCCAAAGCTGCTTTTGCTGGTCAGAGTTCCACACTTTGAGAACTACTGGACTGGAGGTAAGGAACTGACAAGCAAGAGAACCCAGAATAGCAACAGTGCCTTTTCAGTGATGAGTGTAGGGTGATGAGGTGTAGGGTGGGAAGTGTCGTTCATGGGGCTAACATGGAACAGAGGCGGTTGGCTTAAATCTCAAAGAGAAGGCGGGAGGCTGCGTGGTCTAAGCATGGGTTACGAACTTGTCACGAAGGGCGGTGGGACTGGAGAGAGCACCAGGGTCGGGGAGAAAAGTAAAGACGAGCCGGGTGCAGACATGCCCAACACGGGCGCATCTGGTCACAGAGGCGCAGAGAAAAGAATGCAGGAG